AGTCATCACTCACACTGGTCAGAGTGGAGCGCCCCCTGCTGTGCAGAGTGGAGCGGTGCGCCCCCTGCTGGTCAGAGTGGAGCGGTGCGCCCCCTGCTGTGCAGAGTGGAGCGGTGCGGTGCGCCCCCTGCTGTGCAGAGTGGAGCGGTGCGCCCCCTGCTGTGCAGAGTGGAGCGGTGCGCCCCCTGCTGTGCAGAGTGGAGCGGTGCGCCCCCTGCTGTGCAGAGTGGAGCGGTGCGGTGCGCCCCCTGCTGTGCAGAGTGGAGCGGTGCGCCCCCTGCTGGTCAGAGTGGAGCGGTGCGCCCCCTGCTGTGCAGAGTGGAGCGGTGCGGTGCGCCCCCTGCTGTGCAGAGTGGAGCGGTGCGCCCCCTGCTGTGCAGAGTGGAGCGGTGCGCCCCCTGCTGTGCAGAGTGGAGCGGTGCGGTGCGCCCCCTGCTGTGCAGAGTGGAGCGGTGCGCCCCCTGCTGGTCAGAGTGGAGCGGTGCGCCCCCTGCTGGTCAGAGTGGAGCGGTGCGGTGCGCCCCCTGCTGTGCAGAGTGGAGCGGTGCGGTGCGCCCCCTGCTGTGCAGAGTGGAGCGGTGCGCCCCCTGTGGTGTTCATAAGAAGCTCAAGACGACCTCATATTAGAAACACTTGAGGGATGATAATCTTTATTTGCAGTGATTTTAAAATCCACAAAGATGTCGTTGAGGGATTTAAAGAGCCAAAGGTTCAGATTCAGTTACAAACATTTAAAAACAGTTTGAGAGGATCTCGCTCAGAGACGAGACGGCGTGCGGCAGACGGCGTGCGGCAGACGGCGTGCTCTGTGCTCAGTGAGTTTCTCCCTGCAGCTCACACATCTCACACAGGTTCTGCTCCACGGTGAAACCTCCTCGACAGCCGTCACCGCCGCACAGACACGGCACCTCCCGCTCGCCGTCTGCGTCCGACGAGTAATCCCAGGTGAGCTCGGAGCCCGCCCTGACCACCCTGAGGGAGACACGTCAACAGAGTCAGAGCGAGGGGGGGGGGGGGGTTCATTTAGACGGCGTGCAGGTTTCTAAAAGGTGACTTACCTGCTGGTGAAGAAGGCGATGAGGGGGTAGGCGGGGTCGTGGGAGTCGGTGAAGACGTTCTGGATGAACATGTTTGGCGTGCAGCTGTGCTGTGGAGTCACAGAACGTTTACGTTGATTTTTGATTCATTTATTTTTTCCCGCTCTTTTCCCTCTCAGCTGTTTTTCTTACGTTGAAGAAGCGGCTCACGTTTCCCTCCTTGCTCGCGTCCAGGAAGTTCACGCTCTCCACCTTCATCGCTCTCTTTAGACTCCTCCCACTCTTTGTCTTCAAACCGTTCACGCCTTCGGCAACCTTCTCGGGACTGCCCGTTGTCATGGTAACCGTCTTCTCCTGCGCTGTGGGCGGGGCCTGTGGAGCTCCACTCAGCACCGTCTGAGGAGAAATGACCATCTTTAATAAACAGACAGATTCAGAACGTGTGAGACGCAGCGACCCGGGTTAGGGTACCTCCTCTCGGTCCTGCGGCGCCGTGCCAGACGGGTCAGCGGGCCTCTGGATGACCGGGACGTGAAGAGGGAGCGAGGTCGTCGTGGGCTCCACCAGGTTGCTCCGCCCCTCCAGCACGGGCGGAGCCAGCCACTCGGTGATGACCTCCACCTCGTCGTCAGAAGGGAGGTCCGCCCTCGTCAGCTTTGGAGGCGGGGCCTCGCCGGGAGAATGGACCCGTCGCAGGATCACGCCTGAGGGACACAAGTTGCCATGGTAACCAAACAGGAAACAATATTAACGTTATCAGAATCATAACAATGAATCCTGAAACGCCATCTCACCTGCGTATATACACACAAACGTGCCGCGGTCCAGGTCGTCACGGCAACGTACCCCCCAACCTCGCCCCTCCGTCTGGAAGACCTGCAGCCGGACTCTGATCCCCCTCTGGACCAAACGGTTCTGACAGCGAGCGCGGTCACAGCCGCACCACGGACCACACTCGTACACACTGAATGTAAAGAAACACACACACACGATTTAAAGAAACACACACACACACACACACACACACACACACACACGATTTAAAGAAACACACACACACGATTTAAAGAAACACACACACACGATTTAAAGAAACACACACACACACGATTTAAAGAAACACACACACACACACACGATTTAAAGAAACACACACACACGATTTAAAGAAACACACACACACACACGATTTAAAGAAACACACACACACGATTTAAAGAAACACACACACACACACACGATTTAAAGAAACACACACACACACACACGATTTAAAGAAACACACACACACGATTTAAAGAAACACACACACACACGATTTAAAGAAACACACACACACACACGATTTAAAGAAACACACACACACGATTTAAAGAAACACACACACACACACGATTTAAAGAAACACACACACACACACGATTTAAAGAAACACACACACACGATTTAAAGAAACACACACACACGATTTAAAGAAACACACACACACACACGATTTAAAGAAACACACACACGATTTAAAGAAACACACACACATACACGATTTAAAGAAACACACACACACGATTTAAAGAAACACACACACACACACGATTTAAAGAAACACACACACACGATTTAAAGAAACACACACACACGATTTAAAGAAACACACACACACGATTTAAAGAAACACACACACACACGATTTAAAGAAACACACACACACGATTTAAAGAAACACACACACACACACACGATTTAAAGAAACACACACACACGATTTAAAGAAACACACACACACACGATTTAAAGAAACACACACACACACATGATTTAAAGAAACACACACACACACGATTTAAAGAAACACACACACACACATGATTTAAAGAAACACACACACACACGATTTAAAGAAACACACACACACACACGATTTAAAGAAACACACACACACACGATTTAAAGAAACACACACACACACGATTTAAAGAAACACACACGATTTAAAGAAACACACACACACACACACGATTTAAAGAAACACACACACACACACGATTTAAAGAAACACACACACACGATTTAAAGAAACACACACACACGATTTAAAGAAACACACACACACGATTTAAAGAAACACACACACGATTTAAAGAAACACACACACATACACGATTTAAAGAAACACACACACACGATTTAAAGAAACACACACACACACACACACGATTTAAAGAAACACACACACACGATTTAAAGAAACACACACACACGATTTAAAGACACACACGCACACACGCACACACGCACACACGCACACACGCACACACGCACACACGCACACACGCGCACACACACACACACACACACGCGCGCACACGCACACACCTGAGTTAGGGTTACAGGTTTATTGTCTCACCCTGACGGTACCGGCTCGTCCAGCCTGTTGTGACTGTAACGGCGTCCTTCTGTCGTCATGGCGACACAGGCGCAGTTCTGGGCGGAGCTGCAGCCGTCCGTGCAGTCGCAGCACGCCTTGAACAGCGTCGTGCCGCGGCTCAGGAAGCAGCCGTGAGGCCAGCGCTCCTTCCTGTATCGGAACTCGGCCGGCCTGACTCCGCCCTCCCCCAGACACAGCTCCACAGGTGTAGGCTCCGCCCCCCGGCTCAGGTCCACTTCAGGCCGTCGTTGGCCCCCTGATGGAGGCGTGTCTAAGTGGACGGAGGGGTTAAAGGTGAAGAAGTCGACCTGCAGGGGAGGACACAGAGAGGTCACACCTGAAGGTCACACCTGAAGCCGTCACCTGATCAGGTAAATCTCAGGTCACACCTGAAGGTCACACCTGAAGCCGTCACCTGATCAGGTAAATCTCAGGTCACACCTGAAGGTCACACCTGAAGGTAACTTTGATGTTTTCATGTGTGATTAACAAACTGACCTGCAGGAGGTCGTAGCTCTCCGTGGCCAACAGGAACTGCATCACGTCGTCGTGGTTACGCAGGCTCAGCCCACACGGCGCTTTGTAAAGCACGTCCCAATGAAAGCCGTCCTCAGGGTTCACAGGCTCCTCCTCCTCCTCCTCCCCGCCAACTTTTGATGATGTCAGCGGCGTGGCGTTCAGTCTCTTAAAGCCGCAGAGCAGAGGAACCTTCAGCGGGTTCTGACCCCAGAACACAGGCGCAGAGTGAGGCATGCTGGGTAAAGTGGACAGACAGGCCTGGAGGGAGGAGTCAAAGTGTTAGTGATGTTATAGTGTGTGTGTGTGTGTGTGTGTGTGTGTGTGTGTGTGTGTGTGTCTCACCTTGCAGCAGGTGTGTGGTTCGTACTGCAGGTTGTTCGGGGTCAGAGGAGGTAGCAGCTCGTCTACGCCTGCAGGGGGCGCTGCTGAGCTGAGCGGCCCGTTGCAGGGGGAGAGGGGGAGGAGCTCACCTGGACAGGAAGTGAGGAGGGTTCAGAACAGAGTGATGCTTCTGTTAAAGGGTTCATGTGAGTGTGTGTTTACCTGATCCGATGACCACCTGAACCACAGACGAGTCCTGAGAGGAGGCGGGAGGAGAACAGTCCAGAGCCTCCAGCAGCTTCAGCGCCTGAACGTACTCTGATCAACACAACAGGGGGTCTTAAGACCATCGTCATCTAGACCACGGCAAAGGGCCACATTCAATTAATTCTCCCTGCCAGGGGGCCAAATTGTAGTTTACAAAAACAATCAATTATGAATAAATTATAAAAATGTCTCCAATTGAACTCAACATATACCACTGAGCAAATATTATTATGAACATATTTCTGGTTTTCATGATTTCATGGCAGATTTTGTCACGTTTTCTTCATGTTTCCAATTAACTGATGTGTAAAAATTGACCTGAGGGCCACGTTGAGGGTTGATGGGGGCCGCATGTTGCCCCCCCCGATCTAAACCTTCATCCTGATTATCAGATACAGCAGGAACATGTTCTACCTCCATCTGTGGCCGTC